TACTCGACCACCATTATGGTTACCGCAAAAAAAAAAAACAGAGGTAAAAAAAAAAACGGTAACCTGGTTGCCGAGTTCACGAAGTGAATTGGTTTGTTTTACAACGTCGTTGCCAAGCGACGAAAGCCCCATCCCGATGGCCAACACGGAGGGGGGGGCAAGGGGGGGGGGTTATGTATGGTAGGCGGCAGCCGTCGGTTGCTACGCTGTGGGCCATCCAGTCACACGGGCACCGTTCACCCGGGACTCTACAGAGTATTGACGCAGATTTGAAGTTGTGTACCCTATGTGTTTGACCGCGATAACATCGGCACTACAGCGGGTACTCGGCACTTCTCGACAGGCGCTACTACTGTTTTTGAGTGCTCGTGTTCTTTGGGCAAGCTAGCTCGTCGAGCGGTGTCCCTCCCCTAAACCTGTTTTCCCCGTTTCAGCGCTTCCACGATGAATGCCACAGCAGTTCCACGCACCGGAGTGTAGGAGTGTACAAGCAAGTGCGTAATGAAGGTCTGTTAACGGGTTCGTATGATATCGACTTGACGAAGCCGCCCCTTTTCGTAACGTTGTTTCGTCTACTCACGGAGGGTTACACGTTTTTGTTTTTCTGTTGTTACTTGTGACACAATTTCAGTTCATCTCTTCCACGGACAAGGGATAGATATAGCAATGACGGGTTTGAATCTTACAAACGTGTTTCGTTTTTTTCTTGCGTTGCCTTTTTGTGTCGCGCGATCGGCAGGTGGATCGGAGCGTCCTGGAAGAGTTCATCCCGTACGCGCTCATGCACGCCGGCTACCTCGACATGAGCCGCTCAGCGTTGATATAATATTAAGATTTAGAGCAGCCCTCACGCCCGCCCCTGTCGTTGCAAATCGGTTGCCTGGTGCTGTGCAGCGTTTTCTAGAATGTTCGTCTTGCGGCTTGGCTGCGTTCTCTCAATGCAAGCGGGTGCCACGAGGCTTGAGCCGCCCCAGGTGCACTGGGCGGCTTCGAGACACACCGTATGCAAATGTCTCTTGTAACCCTTGGGTGCACACTCTGTCTGTACATCCTCCTTTTTCTTTTTTCGTGCTTGTCTGTTTTGGGTCAAGAGTAGTTCGGTTGGCGTGTGGCTATATCACATTGTTTGACGTCACGGACAGCAGTCAAGGCCCGGACGGCCTACGTGTAGTACCGCTGTGCTAGAAAGCTTTCCAAAGGTGTAGCACGTACTCGTGTTGGCAGCTAGCTGACCGATCGCAGTCCTTCGGGCTGTACCTGGTGCCGTGCGCATCGGAGCATTTTCCGGCAAGGTTCAGAGATCTGCACGCGGTGTTGTGTGAGAACGCTCGGATGGAAAGCCTTTAAGCTCCGGTGTAATCCTGTAACATCGAACGTGTCTGTCGGAGGTTCTTGGTTGCAAGTTTATTGTTGTAGTTGTGTTGTAAATCGAATGTACGCGGACGATAATTTGTCGTAATTTTTTCCAGGCAAGGCTTGGATGGAGGGAGGCTTGTCGGAGACAGGCCTGGTCCGTCCGCATTTTATGCACCGCTTCCAAATCCACGAGAGCATTCGGGCGCACTTTGAAACCTGAACGCATGACATGGATTGTTGCGTTGGCCGTCCCCGCAAAAGCCTCCCTTGCCCAACTTTTGAGGCCATTTCTTGGTTTCGGATCGAACGGCGTGTACTCTTGGTTGCGGTAAGTACGACCTGACCTCTGATTTCTATTCATCCTGTCGAGATACCCCCCCCCCCCCTCCGTTCTCTCTCTCTCTCTCTCTCTCTTGCCCCTACCCCCGCCCCCCCCTGGACATAACGAACCCCTGTACCCTAAACCTCCGAATTTCCCCCCCCC